CCGCCTTCCACCTCCTCGGCCGCCTCCTCCGTCTTCTCCACGTCTTCTCCACCGTCTTCTCCACCGCCTTCTCCACCGCCTTGCCGTCAAGCCGCCTCCCCAACCGCCTTGCACCTGACACCCCCCCCCCCCCCCCAAACAGCCCTCCCCCTCCGCTCGACACTCCATGGGCCCTTCCTGACCCCAAGCCGCTCTGCCCACGCGCAGGCTCTCAAGAAGGCCAAGTCGACGGCGGCGTGGCGCGCCAAGAGCGGCGTCAACGGCTTCCGCAAGCAGATTGCGTCGGGGCTCGTCTACAATGAGATCCCCAACATCAAGGAGCTCTTCACCACCGTCGCCGTCTCAAACGCGCACAGCCGCACCAAGGCGGGCGACCTGATGACCTTCATCGACTACGGCTCGCTCGACGTCAACAAGTTCTTCAAGCTCCTCGACAACTCGCAGTACTTTGACATCAACAACTTCATCCTCGAGTATGTCTCGTACCACTCGGACAAGCTCACGCAGGAGACCGGCGCCCTCGTCCGCCAGTTCATGGTCATCGACGCCGGCGGCATTGGCCTCGCGCACGTCTCGCTGCGCATGTTCATCCGCTTCAAGCCGATCATGCCCCTCGCCGACCTGTACTACCCGGAGCTCCTCGGCGGCGCGCGTGTGCTCAACGCGGCGTGGGCGCTGCACCAGGGCTGGAAGCTCGTCAAGCCGCTCTTGTCCAAGCAGATCCAGGCGCCGTCCGCCCCGTCCGAAGACCTCCCTCCCACTCGCCCTCTCGCCCTCTCGCCCTCTCGCCCTCTCGCCCCTCGCGGCTCGCCCCTCTAGACTCCTCCCTCCTGTGCCAGTCTGCCTCGCCCCTCGCGCCCCCTCGCACCTCACGCCCCTCACCTTTCCTCACCGCCCCCCGTCCAGGACATGGTTGGCATCCTGGACTGCAAGCACACGCCCGGCGCGCTGCTCAAGGTGGCGGACCCCGAGGCGGTGCCCGACTTTTACGGCGGCACCTGCACCACCATTCCGCGCCCGGCGGTCGACTGGTACCCCAAGGCGGGCATGGAGGGCGTCGATGCGGCCGCCATCTGCCCGGGCAAGAAGCTGGGCGCATACATGCGGCGCACGCTCGCGCCGGACGGCGCGCCGCTCTCGAGCGGGACCAAGTGAGGTGCCACGGCGCCGCCGCCCAACTACGTTCGGGGCCAGTGCGGCGGGCGGACATGCTCTGCTGGCGAGGGCGCAAACCCAATGTATAGTCGTACGCCGTGCGGGGCGTCTTCATGTGGCACAGCTGCCGCGAGGGCTGCAGCTGACCACTCTTTGCCAACATCGCACGCGTTGCGGCTTGGTGAGGAGTGGCGGCATCACAATGACGCTCCATTTTGTCGTTTATTAGAGGGCCTCGACGCCCGAGAGAGAGGGTGTGGCGGTGTGTGACGGTCCGACTATACTAAACAAACAATGTGGTGCGAAAACGGAAAACAAATTTCTCTCGCGAGCTCAACCCACATCGTCACAGCTCACGATCCAACGCCTTTTGGCTCCCGACACATGGCGTGCGCCTGCCGATGTCACCTCTCGCTGCGTGATGCAATTGCAAAAAAACCACTGCTGCCCCAAAGAACAAAGATACGTCTTTGGCAGAAAGACACTTTCAGAAAACTGTAAAACCCGGTGGGCCGGGAAAGCGGGATGCATCGCTCACCTGTTACCTGCTCCTCACCCCACCCGGCAGGAACGGCAACGCCGCACGCACCGCCGCGGGCTCCAGGCCAGAGACGACGCACGCGGCAACCACGAGCGCTCCGCCGACGACGCACTGCGGGTCGAGCCCCTCGCCGAGGAGCAGCAGCCCAAAGGCGCTCGCCCAGAGCGGCTCGGTGGCGACGATGACGGACGCGGCCGATTGCGGCACCTGCGCCAGCGTCAGGGGCCGCGGTTGGCGCGGTGCGCGGTGCGGCGAGGGGGCAGGTGGGTGGGAGGGAAGACCGGCGACGGCGGCGGTGTGGCAGCGGTGTGGCGGGGGAAGAGGGAAGGAACCCCACCCGCGTCAGCCCTTTCGTCTCGCCGACCCGCACGAGGGCGGTGGTGACCAGGCCGGTCCACAGCAACCCGCCGCCTGCGACACACACGGCAGGGCGGCGTCGACACGGACGCGTCCTGAACGCGTCCCTCACCACCGGCGGGCGCGCCGCTGTCCCCCCGAAGCGCGCCCGGCAGCGCGAAAGCGTCGCGAGTCCCCGCGTCGACGAGCCACCCTGCGGATGAAGAGGCTGCGAGCGGGCCGACGCCGCAGCCGTCGCACACTGCCCATAGCGCGGAGAGCGCCGCTACCGTCGCCACGTTGACGGCGGTCACGGGTAGGACCTGCTCCACGCCCGAGGCCGGAGGAGAGGCATTGTGGGGGCGAGGGCAGACAGCGGCAGGGAGGGGAGAGAGCGGCAGGGAAAGCAGAGGCGGCAGGAAAGGAGAGGGTCGTTGGGAAAGAGGAGCGGCGGGGGAGAGGAGGAGAAGGTAGGGTTTGGGGGAGAGCGGCCGTCTGAAGAGGGGTAGGAAAGGCCTGGTCCGCGCCCGCGCCGTCGTCATCCTCTGAGATCAGCCGCCCGATGAGGTAGAAGGAGGTGCCGAAACCGAGGGCCTGTTGACGGCTGGAGGTGTAAAGCGACGCCGCTCACACAGCTAAGAGGCGGCGCTAGACCAGACCTGCACGATAGACCAGAGGTCGCCGGCCGCGACGCCGCCAGCTCGAAGGGCATCGAGCGAGTCGCCTGTCGTGGACGTGTCGCGGACGTGTCGCGGACGTGTCACGGATGTGCTGAGGACGTGGCTGCATCTCGGCTACATCTCGGCTACATCTCGCCAATCTCGAGGAGGCCGACCCCGCCCAAGGTCAGCAGAGCTGCCAGCCACACCTGCCGCGGTCCGGACGGGCGTCAGTCGCAGCTCATTGCAGCCGTCCACATTTGACAGCCGCGATGAGACGTTCTTCACTACAGAGGACGCAAGGCAGGCACCCATGCCAGCTAGCTGCACCCATCCAAGCACCTGTGGCGCGCTGGCGAGGCCGAGCCGCTTGCCGTCGAGAGCGGCGGAGAGGCAAGGGACCACCACGACGGTGAGCGCGCCAAGGAACGAGACCTGCGAGGCAGGTATGAGGTGGGACGCTCGGCTTGAGAAGGTGTGAGAGTCAGAAGTCTCGCGGGCGTAAACCTTGGCGGCGGCCGTGTCGCAGAGGGCCAGTGACTGCGCAGAGTATCCGATGCCGTCGCACAGCCCCGTGGCGACGGCCGGCCAGATGAGCCGCCGGTCCAGCCGAGAAATGAATGGACTCAGGGCGAGAGCTGCGAGGAGGAAGCGGCCGGACGTGGACGCTGCCGCCGGGAGCGCCTCGTTCATGAGCCGCCCGACCGGGAAATTCGTGCCGTAACCGACCGCGACGGCGAGCAGGAGGAGCTTGAATTGCCACGCGTCGCTGTCCGTCTCCTCTGGCGGTGCCGTACAGCAGCGGACAGCGGGCCGCGGAAGAACGGTCGATGCGGCGGCAGCAGCAGTCGCGCCGTGCCAGGTGTTTGGGACGAGAGCGATCATTTATGCGAGTCGGCCGGAAAGAGGACACGTCAAAGAAAAACATGCATTGACAGTGTGGGCCTGCAGGTCCAATCCATCCTTGCCTATATGACTGAGATTCGTTGCTTCGTGATCACCAATGCACTTGCAACGTGGGAACAGCGCCTCGAACGGGCTCGAGTGACTCCCAGTTCGAGCCGCAAAAGTCGGAAAGAAAATAACAATAAATTTGGGTTCCTGGTCCCCCAGGGGGTCCCTGGGGACCCTCCGGGGCCCCTGGGGGCCTCCCAGGGGCATCTGGGCCCTCCCCCATCAGCTATTCATGCAGAGCCATCCAGCAGCCCAGAGCCAGCAGCCAAGGAAGGTGCAAACTGGCAGGCAGCCAGCACTCCTCGACCCATACGCACACACGCACAAATAACACGCAGATGGTGCACCTGGGTAAAGGGAGGCCGCACACCAAAGGGAGTCGCACACCTGGGTAAAGGGTACGTGCTCTCCGGTGCGCGGTGGGTAAGTCCTTGCTAACCTACCAGGCCCCGGGGCATCCATCACACAGGCAGTCCGCTGGTGTGCTCACGAGAGGGGTGTGAGCCCCAGATAGTTCGAGCACACGGAACGCGCCGCGCTGGTCCCTGGCAGATGTCCGCCGCTGCGGAGGAGATGAACAACGAGATCATGATGATTGAGAAAATGATGTCCTCGAAGTTCCAGCCCGGCGACGCCGTAGAGGTCAACAAAGACATCAACATGGGCAACGGTCGTGTGCTGAACACATGGGCGGCGGGTGAGGTGGAAAACGTCTCTGCGGATGGAAAACGTCTCAATCACGGTTTCGATTACACCATCGAAATGAACTTCGCCGACGGCACCTCGTGGACGGAGTACAACGTGAAGGAAGGGGACCTGCGCCACCCCGGCGATGACATGGACGAGCGCGTCAGCATCTTCACCGGCAAGACCGAGATCGCTTACCGCACCAAGTTCGCCGAAGGCACCGTCAAGAAGGACTACTACGCTCGCAAGGATTACATGCTCTTCGACCAGGAGGGCAAGGGCTCGTGCGTGTGGATCCCGGTGCATCGCGTCAAGAAGGACTGCATGAAGCCGATTCGTAAGGCGCAGAAGAAGTTCTCCAAGGAGTCCAACGCGGACAAGAAGGACAAGGATTACATCCCGTAAGAGCGTGGTCGACATCGTGGGCTATAGCCCAGGGCCCGGGGAAGGTCGAAACCCGGTGTCACGCACGCCTGCGCAGTGGTTATGGCAGAAGGCCAACCAGAGAGCGCGGCGGGCTGAGTTACAGGCACATTGTGTACAGTGGCGCTTTACTGTCGACTGACTCGTGACAGTTCTGAGCGCGTGGTAAGGTCAAAATCCTAAGCTTTTGTAACATCCGTTAGGGGGGGGGGGGTCCGGACCCCCCACTGGGGGAACGTTGCCCTATGGAAAAGCTCGCGTGTTGTGGCTCGGCAACTTTCCCGCCCCGTCCCCGCCATCCTCTCTCTCCCCTACCACTCCCTGTAGGAAAGCAATGAGCGACTTCATCATCGAGGGCCTTAAAGAAAGAGGCCTGATCAAGCCACCTACAATGCGCTGAAAACGCTAATCGACGAGGCGGCACAGGCTCAGCCGGCCCGAGATTGAGGCGCTCGGAGAGAATTATCGCGCAGCTGCAAGGGTCACCGCGGGCGCGGGCCGTCGCGATTCTGGAGGCGAGCGAGTCGTTCAACAAGGTCACGCGTGAGCCGTGAGCTACGCCTCGACGTGAGCGACGCCACGGTGGAGCAGCTGCGCCGCGTGGTCAAGTTGGCGCAGAGCGACGAGCTCAAGTCGGTGAAGAAGTTCCTCGACCAAATCATGCAACACCGGATGGCGTGGCCTTTTCTGGAGCCTGTCGACGGCCACCTGTATCCATCCTACTACCAGGGCCCGCACGCAGTCATGGATCCGATTGACCTTTGCACCATCAAGATGAAGCTCGAGCAAGGATCCTACGCCGATGCGGTGTGTGGGAAAACTGCCGCCACTTCGACCATCACCTGCATCCCCGGCCAAAAGCACCTGCGCACGGGATAGGTAGGGTAAGGTAAACTTCTCCACACACACGAGGTGGTGGGGCAAGGGGGGGCGACCCTCGCGTCTCCACGTCTGACGACAGGACCAGGAGCCCCACGGCATTCAAAGTGCAAGGCCCATGTGCGCGTGGGTGAGCCGTGTGTGTGGTGTGTGTGTGTGTGTGTGTGTGTGTGTGTGTGTGTGTGTGTGTGTGTGTGTGTGTGTGTGTGTGTGTGTGTGCGGTGTGTGTGTGTGTGTCTCATAACATCGAAGCGGCTAGCTCAAAAGAAAAGTCGAATGCGACGAAATCAAAAAAACACCGCGCTGCGGAGCGGCTTTCGCCGGAAGGCCGCCTCAAAAAGATAAACACGGCAAACTCGCTCCTAGAACGGCGAGGCGCCAGCGGCGGCCGCCGCACCAGCGACCATCTCCGCAAGCCTCGTCGCCGGATGGCCAGTGAGGCTGCGCAGCTTCGTCGAGTCCATAGAGATGTCCGGAGGCGAGGCGACCGCGCGCGCGGCGGGCGGCAGCGACGAGCGCGCCACGGGGCGGATGAGTTGTGGCGCGTCGTAGCCGCCCTGCGCTGCGACTGCCTCCGCCACCTCCACGCGCGTCACTCTCTCTGGCCCGCCCATGTTGTACACGCCCGCCGACTGCGGGCTGACGCCTGAAAGGCCGAGAGATGCCAAGGGGGGCTGAGAGAGGGATAGTGGGCTGGATGAGGCTGGGGTGGCTGAGGGCCTCTGAGGGCCGAGGGAGGGTGTCTAAGGGCCTAGAGAGGGTGAGAGAGGCTGAGAGAGCGCGACAGTGGAGAGGCTGCGAGAGGCTGCGAGAGGCTGAGAGGGAGGGGCGCGATGAGGCCGCGCTGAGGTGTCAGCGCGGGGCGACGCACCGTCGCGGGCGAGCGAGGCGAGGATCGACACGATATCTCCCACCCACACGACCGACCGGACCTGCGCGTCGGAAGAGGGCGAGCTACGGAATGAGACGCGGTGGTCCGTCCCCGTCGGCTGTTTGTACCTGTGCCTATGCGCCTCCCCTAGTGCGCAAGTGTGCGCAAGTGTGGTAGGCAGGTGGACGCCGGGTGGTGCGTGCTGTGGGTTGCGAATGGGTGGCGGAGCGGCGGGGAAGAGGCCGCGGACGAGGCGAGGAGGCGGCGAGGAGGCGCGTGCTCTCGAAGTGTGCGGAGGCGGGGCCCCGACGCCTCGTCGGAGAAGAAGTCGGTCGCTGTGCCGGCAGAGAGCCGCTCGGCGCAAAACTGGAGGAAGGACCCCTTGCCTACCGTGTGGACGCGGTCTCGTGCGAGCATCGCCTGGCACCAGCTTTACGAGGCCAGGGGCTAGAAGACAGCCGCCCGGTCGGTGTTCCCGCATCTAGTGCCCCTTGCGGCACCGCCCAGGCGTCGGAGGGCCGAGGATGAGGGACGAGCGGAGGCAGACGCTTCGCGACGGGAGCGCGGCGGTGAGGGCGCGCTCAAAGCTGAGCTTGCTCTGCCCGTACACGTTGACCGGGGCGGCGGCCGACGTCTCAGTGTACGGGGCGGCGAGGCCGTCGTAGACCTGATCGGTGGAGAGGAAGACGAAGCAGGCGTGCGCTGGGACGGCCGCGAGGAGGGGGGGGCACTCGTTGACGGCGCGAGCACGCGCTGGGTCCCTTTCGCAGACGGCCGGGCTCGATATGGCTGCGAGGTGCAGCACCACGTCTGGCTTCACCTCTGAGACGAGCGCGGTGACTGCCGCGCCGTCGGTGAGGTCGAGTTGGACGCACGCGCAGACCGCCCCAAAGTCCTCCGCGAATGTGTCGAGCCCGCCATACGCTGCGGCGAGGCGCCACGTGGGGAAGGTGCGCGCTAAGTGAGCGATGAGGTGCTGACCGAGGTAGCCAGAAGCTCCAGTGATCAGCACCGTCTTGTCTGGCGGCGCGAGCCCTCGTGCCGCGGCGCTGGCGACAATCCGAAGGTACTCCTCGGCGGGAGAGAGCGCGCGCAGCCCTTCCAGTGAGCCGGGCATGCAACAAAATGTGTGGTTGGCGAAGGATAAATTTCAGATTACCCGGTTTTTGAGATTCGCCTCGCAGATTACCCGGCGAACGATATTTTCCTGCTTAGCGCGATTTCCGTCAAACCAGTTTACCCAGTCTCCCACAATTCGTGTTTCAGCTTACCCGGTCGCTAAAATTTGTCATGTCAGATTACCCGGTCGGCCAAATTTCTCGTCCAGATTACCCGGCAACGATATTTTCAGATATTTTCCTGCTCAGCAGCAATTTCATCAAAAAACTGAGAAACCAGTTTACCCAGTCTCCCACAATTCACGTTTCAGCTTACCCGGCCGCTAACTTTTCTCATGTCAGATTACCCAGTCGGCCAAATTTCTCGTCCAGATTACCCGGCGGCTAACTTTTCTCTTTGAGATTACCCGGGCGCGCAAATTTCTCGTTTCAGCTTACCCGGACGCGAGCGTGCACCTCGATCCTCGTCCAGAGAGCGAGCACCTGCGGCACTTGGTCCTAAGGAGAGCTCCCACTCGGAATCCCCAGCCTCGTTTGCTTGAATGACGCAGTCGTGAATCCCAAACGGTTTCAGATTACCCGGCGCATCCCACTACCGGGTGATCTGGAAAAAAGAAATTTCGTCCGACGGGTAACCTGGAAACGACATTTCGCCGTGTTGGGTAACCTGGAAACGACATTTCGCCGTGTTGGGTAACCTGGAAACGACATTTTGCCGCACCGGGTGATCTGAAACCGCTCACGCCGGGTGATCTGGAAAACGCCGGGTGATCTGCAAGGCGAGTCTCAAAACCGGGTGATCTGGAAGAAGAAATTTCGTGACCCGGGTAACCTGGAAACGACATTTCGCCGTGTTGGGTAATCTGGAAACGACATTTCGCCGTGTTGGGTGATCTGCGAGGCAAAAACTCGCAGACGCCGGGTGATCTGAAAAACGCCGGGTGATCTGCGAGGCGAATCTCAAAAACCGGGTAATCTGAAATTTATCCGTTGGCGAACGACACAGGTAGGGTGCCCAAAAAAATTCCTTCGGGCACTTGAGTTGGCCCTGGCGCAGACACACACACACACACACACACACACACACACACACACACACACACACACACACACACACACACACACACACACACACACACACACACACACACACACACGCAAGGGCGAGGACACGCGCAGGGGCCGCACCTCTAGCGAAGCCCACAGAGTGGGAGACTCCTATCACCGCCCTGCCACCCACGTGAGCCTTTTGGCCGCCTCTGTCAGTGTGCCCGTGGTAGTGAGAGACTGCTGGTGAGAAGCCGGAGGAAGGTCGCTAGTCGAGAGAGATCGCCAGTGGAATAGGGAGTCCACCGTGCTGCGAGCCTGTCGCTGTCCCTTGTCAGGAGCAGGAGAACTAGGAGAGCGCAACCAGTAGGAGGCCCGCGCCTGCCCCCGTGCCGCCGGGTGCAACCTGTCCTATACGAGAGAGGAATCCCTGGGACCCTGTCGTGTGGGTGAACCCTGCCCAGCCCCCCTCCTGTCGCGATGCGCTCCCCGCTCCCGTTCCCCTGTGTCCCTGATCGTCCTTCCAAGATCCTGCTCGTGCAGGTGGGGACCCTGTCCCTCTCCCACCCCTCGTTTGGCGTGCCCGTTTTATTTATTTATTTATTGGCGAAGAGCCGAGCGGAAGGAGGACGGGGAAGATGACTCAGAGGAGGACGAACCAGTGGAAATTCAGTTGTCAGATGTCACGATGCATCCGAAGGGGACTCCAGCGCCGGCATCATCCGTAGAGGCACGAGTGTTCGAAGAGAGAGTGGACCTGAGCAACAACATGACCTGGAGGCAAATGATCGGAGTGGGAGTCAGAAATGTGGTCCTTGCGCGAGGGGAGCTCGATAGACTCGAGGGGCCAGGATACGCCGCGAGGAGGACGGAGTTGCGCCGAAAGGCGAAAGAAGCCGCGAGAACAAGGGACCGGCAGGCGGCGGCGTCGCAGGACGAGGCAGAAGAGAACGACGCGACAGAGGAGGAAGTGACAAGGGAGAGAACGACGAGAGTGGGACGGCCGCGAGGTGGCATGAAGGTTGCAGCGAGAAGCGGCGAGAGGCGACGGCTAGCGCATCACACTCCTCTCCTTAAATCCCTGTGTGGTGGCGGCGTGCCGTTCTCCCATCCCTCCCTTGGGTTGTCTGTTTTCTTTAAGCAGGCGCGGGTGGGGCTTGGGCGGGGGGCGAAGCCGGGAGCGGCTCGCGGGTTGGTCCGGTGGGGGGGGCGGGGCGGGGCGGGGCGGGGTGGATCGGGTCGGGGCGGGGCGGGGCGGGGTTGCTCGGGTCGGGGTGGGGCGGGGTTGTGGGGTGGGGTGGGGATGTCGGGTTGGGGAGTGGGTGGGCGCCGGAGTGGGAGTGGTGTGACTGCTCCTGTGGTGCGGGCGACGGCTTCTGAGGAAGCCGTCGCCCGCGCCTCACCTGTCGCGTGAATCGTGTCGTGCGACCGCCTTTTGTTGAAAAATTCTTTCTTTCTTTCTTCTGGCGCCAGCCTTGGCAGTTGATTAGGCCTTGGCACCAGCCTTGGCGGGCGGGCACGCGGAACATGCACAGGCGCCATGTCGCAGGAGGTCTGTCTGCCCCAGACTCGGCTCAGAGCCCAAAATTTGAGGATTTCCACGCAGTTTTCCCGGGAGGATTTCCACGCAGTTTTAAGGAGAAAAAAGTAAAACAAAAGAGAGGGTGTGCGAAAACCTGCGACAGCCCAAGAGACTACCCGCGGACCTAGAAGGACCGCGCTCATTCTGTCATTCACGCCGACAATCGCACCCCGAAGCAACACTCGCACGAAGCACTCGCACGAAGCACTCGCACGAAGGCCATTGACGATTAGGCGATGGCACCAGCACACGCCGCGGCGATGGCACCATCGATACGCCCAGGCGCGCAATGGCTCGACACCGCCGGAACGCCGATCGACGCTCACGGCGCCGGCCTCATGCTCGACACCGACGGTCGGATCTGGTGGTACGGCAGCCAGCGCCAGGGCCACCCGTGCAAGCTGTGGAACTGTCGCGACGGCGGTATCAACGCATACAGTTCATCGGACCTCTATGCGTGGCGCTTCGAAGGCCTCGTCGTGCCAGCGTTCAACGACACCAACCCGCGATACACGCGGAATGGGCTGCTCCTCGAGCGGCCCAAGGTGGTGCGCTGCACCGCCAGGCGCGACTACGTGATGTGGGTGCGCGGCACGGCGCCGCGGAACGAGCCGCAAGCGCTCGCCGTGCTGCGCGCCGACGCACCGGCGGGCCCGTGGCGGCTCGTGCGACATTTCCGCCACCTCGGGCCGCGTAAGCTCTACCAGTACGCGGATGCCACGCTCTTCCAGGACCCGCGCGACGGCGCGACGTACGTCTACTGGCGCACGCAGGTGTACCCGGTGCGCGACCGACGGCTCGGATTCCACGCGATGCGGCTGAGTGACGACTGCGCCGACACGGTCGACGGCTCTGACACGCAGATCTTCGTCAGTGCGCACCACGAGGCGCCTGCGGTCTTCTTTGCGCCACCGTCCGTCGCGCGCAGCGCCGCCGGCAACAACGGCGATGGCACATACTACCTCTGGACGGGCGGCACCAACGGCTGGCGGCCGGCGCCGGTCCGACTGCACCGCGCCTCGTCGCCACTCGGCGCTTTCAACGGCTCTGAGCTCGCGCCGCCCATGCCCGAGCCGCGCATGCCGGGCAACGCGCCGCCCGCGCAGCCGGGCGCGTGGGCCTTTGGCAGCCAGTGCACGTTCGTGTTGCCCAACCCAGCGCACACGGCGTGCGTGCGCCGGCACGCGCCGCGCGCCGCGCCAGCAGCGCCGGCGGCGGCGGCGGCATGCGCGCGGCTGCCCCAGTTCGTCTACGTGGCAGACCGGTGGGACACGCTCAAGGCGCACTTTGGACGATACGTGTGGCTGCCGCTGTACGTCGACCCGCTCGACGCGTCGCGCGTGCTCGTGCGCTGGGCGAGCGAGTGGCGGCTCGACGAGGAGTGCTCGCCTTTCGTCACGCCGCCCGACGGCTCCGACCCGCTGGCTGCGTGTGGTTGGCACAACAGCTCGGTGGAACGCCTAAAGGTAAGCCCCGGCGCCCGGCGGCGGCGCGATCACGAGGAAGGCGCGGCACGCCGATGCGGTGCCGTTTGCCGCAGGTCGTGCGACCCGCAGAAGTGCGGCAAAAAGTGCTGCGAGTGGCTGGCGCGCGGCGCCGCGCGCCGCGCCAACCGCACATTGCTCGCTGGCCTGCAAAGGAAGCGGCGGAGCGCGTCGTCCGGGCGGAACCGATGATCGCCCCGCAGTCCCAGCAAAATTGCGCTTGGCCGCAGTGAAGGATGTTGGACTGCAGTCTGCGGTTGATGATGACGCAGTGGCTGCACGCAGGGCAGGGCTTCTGCTCCTCCGTGATTACGAACCTGCCGGGCGCGGCAGTCTCGCCCGTCGGTTTACTGAGACTGCGACTGCCTCCACCCCGTCCTGTGCCTCTCGCTCACGGCGTCCAGCGACCTCGCGCTTCACGTCCGCTCGAGCCGCAGCCTCGCGGCGGCCGTACTCGGCCCATCGAGCTGCGTCAGCCTCCTCCGCAGCCGCAGCTTGCTCCCGCTTAACCGCACAGCTTCGTCAGCTTGCGGTGGCGGCGGCACCCTCGCTCGAGAGTCGACGTCCGCAGCTTGCTCGTCGTCACTGCTGAGGACTGGTGGGAGCTTGCCTGGCCTCCTCAATGCGCCGACTTGGGGAAGTTTCTTTAGCGCACAACTCAGTCACATACGTGTTACGTCATACCTCATAGTCATATTCGAGTACACATCATGTACACCAGTGTGCATGTATCCCCTGCATTGTGCATATCTCGGCACCTAAATAAATAAAACGGGAATAAAACGGCAAAACACTGAGACGTCTGTGGTCTGAGCTTGACAGTTGACTGCTGTTGTGCTTTACTCACTGTCAGAACACTGTGACTGCCTGACTCACACCGGAAGCAAAACCCTTTGTGCGAGTCCTTCTCCACCGCCGCTGCGCGCTGGCCCGCGAAACTGGCCCCACCCAAAAGGAGGGCTCACGAGACTCGTCGGGTGCGCCCCCACCACGTTCAAGCTGAGCGAGATTTTGAATACCAAACAACTCGAACACTCACACATGATTTGGGTCCTGGAGCCCTGTTCACTATGATGTAACATACTTGACACCCCCCCCTTGGCGCCTTGTGATTTTCGTGCGAAGACAGCGAGATCTCGGCCGCGGTCCTCCGCTCGCGCCGGCCGCCCATGCGCTCGCGGGGCTGGCCGACGGCGCGGGCCTCTTGCCGATGGACCCAGCCGAGGTGCCCGACCAGTCGGAGCCGCGCCGACGCGCTGCGCGCGACCACCAGCCAGCTTTCCGGCCGGGCCGAGAACGGTGTGTCGAGAAAGCTGACACTCAAGGTAGCAGCCGAGTTTTTTGCCTCTTTTTGAGCACAGCAGCATGCCCACCAGTGATACGAGACGCACCAGATTCACCCCGTCGCGAGCTTGACCGCAACCCCGGTGACCGCCCATAGGTGGCTGATCGAAGCGCCACTCATCGCTGCTTTCGCGCGCCTGCTCCACAGAGGGCTCCTGCGGCTCTCCCTCGTCGCGTGAGCGCCGCCGACATCATGTGCTCTGTCGTCCCCGCCGGCGCGGAGCTGCGCCACGTCGAATTCTTCGGTGGCTCGACCGCCGGCGCGCCCACCCTCGCCTCCTGCGCGCCTCACACCCCGTATTCTCCTCGCGCGCGGCCGACAAAGTGAGCGTACGACCACCTCCCTCTCAGTCACCCCCCCGACGATGCACAGCCCGCTCGTTCTCGCCGAGAAGACGCTCGGAGCGCCCAACTTTGCCTCGTGCGGCCATCAAACAGGCGCGTTGCCTCCCATCTCCGCACTTCCCATCTACCCCCACACTGCCTTGGGCCAGGTACCAATTTTGTCGAATTGATTTCAAAATCTGCAGGCGCGGAGCGCCTGCGAAAATTTTGAAGAAATTTGCAGTCGGGCCTGATTTTCATCAAGATCTCTCAAATTTGCGGTGTGGAGAGTTGGGGGGTGGGTTAGGTTAGGGTTATTAGGGTTAGAGGGTTAGGGTTAGGGTTAGGGTTAGGGTTAGGGTCAGGGTCAGTCTTGTTGTGTATATGCCAGCGTTGCAGGGTTCTGCGCTGGGATCTGGCCCCAGCGCCGACGAGTAAGACTCAGCACCGCACGCTGACCCCACCAAATGCCGCCTCAGGGCGCCAGGCCGCCAGCCACCTCTTACACGCGGCCGGCGCCCTCTCGCGGCAAAAGGGTCGAGCGAGCGGGCAGAGTCGCGATGTCTGCGCACCCGCGTGCCGATGGGCGGCACACGCAGCGGAGAGAGGCCCTGTCACGCCGCCAGTAGCGTTCCGCACTCCCCAGCCACGCCACCAATTGCCGCCTCAGGGCGCCAGCCACCTCTTACACGCGGCCGGCGCCCTCTCGCGGCAAAAGGGTCGAGCGAGCGGGCAGAGTCGCGATGTCCCTGCGCACCTGGGTGTTCGAACCTGGTTTGTGGAGCTCCCACAGATGTTCTGACAGAGACCTCAGGCCACGTCCCCCCTGTCGCCCCCCCCAGCACTCCAAGGTGCCAAGAGACAAACAACAGCACAACAACACAGACAGGCGACAGGGGCGAACGTGTGAGACTAGAGCAGGCTTGCTCCGCCTCTAGCAATCTCGTCGCCGGCCGCAAGGCACGGACGAGACCGTGTGTGGGGTCTTGTGAGGTGTCTATGGACGCTCTCCTCTCGGGCTACCCGCCAGCGGCTAGCCCTAACTCGCACTCATCTGGGTGACGGACAATTCATTGGATGAGCATCAGCGAGCAGAGGTGCGTGTGCTGAATCTAGATCGCACGCCGTGGCATATGACTTGGGTAGGCGTGCGACCGCAGCGCGCCCGCCGGAGGCTCGACCGGGCGCGCGTGTCAGCCAGAAGTTTGCCAGTAGAGCGATCCTGGTCTTTCCGAAGACGAGCCCCGCGCCACGGGTGCCAGCCGTGCCTCCGCGGGAGCCGCCTCTCGAGCCGCGTCCCGCCGGCACTGTCCCTGAGTGCGTTCCGCCTTGGTTGGCGACGCGCACTCGACGAGGGCAGTCCAGCCGACGGGAACGTGTCGCGCGCCGGCGACGAATGCGGCGGGGTGGGTGTGGGTACCGAGCGCCGCTTCGACGAAGCGAGGTTGGCAGGCGCCCCTCACGAGTCCGTTCAGACATGCCACACGCCCCGGCACACCCATTAAAAGAAACACCTGCTTCGGGCATAGTTCGGCTGTCAACTCCAACCGGATGGCTCAGCCGCCTCCCGGCGCGGACACGCTTCAACGACGCCACAGGCTGCGCCGCTCGCGCTGCCGAAAAAGATCCAAGCCGCGGCGGCGGTCGGCAAGGTGGGCGTGGTGCAGACGTGGCTCGCCGGGGACGGGTGGGTTGACGCGACGTGCGTGCGTGGCGGTGTGAGTGGCTGGACGCTCCTGCTGATCGCCGCCGCCAACGGTCACAAGCAGCTGGTCGAACTTCTGCTGAAGGGCGGCGCGAAGGTGGACGCACAAAACAGCATCGGCATTACGGCGCTGACTGCCGCCGCCCTCAACAGCCATCTGCACGTGCAGGAAGGCCGCGAGTGGGTGGTCGAGACGCTGCTGCAGTATGGCGCGGAGATCAACCTGCAGAACAGCTACGGCAGCACCGCGCTGATGTACGCCGCTATCAAGGACCAGCAAGCGGTCGAGCTGCTTCTTCGGCACGGCGCAGAGGTCGACCTGCGGGACTGCGACGGCCACACTGCGCTCACGTCCGCCGCTGACAACGGCCGCCCTGCCGTTCTGCTCCGGCTGCTGCGGGCGGGCGCAGACATGGCGCTGCGCACTGCGGCGGGCAAGACGGCGCTGCAGCTTGCCAAAGAGAAGGGCCACACCGAGTGCGTCGCGGCTGTCAAGACGTTTCTCGGCGAGGTGGCGGCGGAGAGGCGCGACGCGGCGGCGGTCGAGGCGGGCGGCGCGGGGGCAGGCAGCGCTTCGGGCGGCGAGGGCGGCAGCAGCGGGCCGGTTTCCGAGGAGATCGGCGAGGCGGGTTGCGCAGGGGCGGACGGCGATGCCGCCTCGGGCAAGGGGGCAGCGGCGGCACCAACCAACAAGCCGCCCCCGGACTCGTCTGACGAGGAGGACCAGCCCCTCTCGCAGAGAAAGCAAACTGCCGCGTCCTCTTCTGGCGGCGTGGAGAGCGGAACGGGCGAGGACGCCGTCCCCTATGAGATCGCGAAGGCGGCTCGGCAAGGCGACGAGGCGGCGGTGCTGGCGTGGCTCGACGGCGGCGGGCGGGTGGACGCGACTTACGAGTGTGGCAAGTCGACTGGCCTCACGCTGCTGATGGCCGCTGCCATCTACGGCCACGAGCGGGTGGTCGAGCTGTTGCTGCAGCGCGGTGCTGAGGTAAACGTGGTGGACAACCTCGGCCGCACCGCGCTGATGAGCGCCGCCCACCAAGGCAACAAGCGGGTGGTCGAGCTGCTGCTGCGGCACGGGGCGAAGATCAACCTGCAGGACAGCGACGGCGTCACCGCGCTGATGAACGCTGCCATCTACGGCCACGAGCGGGTGGTCGAGCTGCTGCTGCGGCATGGGGCGGAGATCAACCAGCAGAACAATACCGGCCTCACTGCGCTGATATTCGCCGCCTACCAGAACCACCCCGCCCCTCTCCACTGCCTGCTGCGGGCGGGCGCCGACACGGAACTGCGCGTGGCGGCTGGCTGCACAGCGCTGCAGCTTGCCAAGGAGGCGGGCAGCGCCGAGTGCGTGCGCGCCTTCGAGGAGCATGCGGCGGCCAAGGCAGCGGCCGAGGCGGTGGCGAAGGAGGCGGCGAGGGCTGCGGAGGCGGCGGAGAGGGCGGCGGAGAGGGCGGCGGAGAGGGCGGTGGCGGAGGCGGAGGCGGCGCGGCATGCCGAGGAGCTGCTGGCGGAGGAGGAGGCGGAGAAGCGCGGCAAGGGCAAGAAGGGCAAGAAGAAGAAGAAGGGCGGCGGGAGCGGCGGCGTTGGGCCGTCGCAGGAGCCCGAGGCGCCGGCGGAGGGTGCAGAGGCGCGATCAGAGGGTGTCGAGGTGCTATCAGAGGCAGCCGCAGCCGAGGCCGCAAAGAAGGCCGAGGAGGCGAGATTGATCAGGCTTCTCGAAAGTTGTCACGAGGAGAGGATCCGGCTCGGCATCACGGCGGAGAGCCAGGCAGCGGCTTTAGCTGAGATGGTCGAGGCGGAGCGCTTGGCCGAGGAGGCGGAGGAGGAGGAGGAGGAGGCAGAGGCGGAGGAGGAGGAAGCCGCGGCCGAGGAGGAAGCCGCGGCCGCGGCACTTGCGGCAGCTGAGGCGGCCACGGCGGCAGCTGAGGCGGCGATGGCCGCCGCAAAGGCGAGGCGCGCGGCCGCTGCGAGGGCCAAGGCGGCCGCTGCAAGGAAGGCGGCGGCCGCGGCGGCCCAGCGCTCATAGAGAGCCGCTGAGAGCAGGACATGACGCGCGCATCTGGCACCCCGCCCGGCTGACTGAGGCGTCAGCCCCACGCCGCCCCGCCCTCGGCGTCGCGCAGCGGAGGCGGCGGCGTCTCGACCCGGACGCCACCGTGAGGCAGGCGGACTTGCGCTCGCGGGAGTGGCTCAGGGAGCACGGGGCGGCGGCGGAGGAGGAGGGCGGGCGGCGGGTATCTCTCTCTCCCACGGTGGTCACGTCGACTTTTTTCATCTTGGTCTACACGTGTGGTGGCCTCTCTGTTCCGGTACGGCTCTACGTGAGTTTTGTGAGACCCACGCGGCACGGCCCCCAGGGCGGGGGCGCGCGGCGTGATGGCCGCGAGCCGTCGAGGCTCGAGCACGTGCACATGCTGGTGGCGACCGTCCTCGGGCGAGTCCGCGGTGGCCACAAAGACGAAATCAGCGGCCAGCTGTGGTGCCGCCCACGTGCGCACGGGCTGCCGCGCACGCCCCACGTCTCGACACGTCGCCACACGTGACAACACAAACAATGGGAACACAAACAATGGGCTAGCCAGCTGCTCGTTCGTGGCAGGCAGGGTGACAGAGGCTCTAACGCTGCCGAGTGGGCGGGACGACAACATGCGGGGCGGGGGACGACACCATGCCAACGGACCCCCCTCGAGAACCCCCCTGGGCGGCTGCGGGCTGGGGCCGCCCGTTGGCCCTATCTCCGGGGCAACCCCTCTCCGTCCCGAGGCCGGCTTTCCCCCGTGCCAGTCTTCCCCAACCAACCCCGCCGGCAGCGCGAGCTACCCGGCCATATTGAGAGCGGTTCGCCCGCGTCGCGCACTCGTGACTCGTCCAAACCCGAAACCGGGCTCCGGGGGGCCCACGGACTCGTTCTGCGAGTCAACGCTCTGTGAACACCTCAACCTCTCATAGACCCCCCACCCCCCTCTCCCCCTTCCCCCCCCTAACTCCCCCTCCCCTCCGCCGCACAAACCCACCCGCGCGCGACCCCACCGTCGCTGTGCGTCGTGCTCCGCAGCCGTGAGCGAGCGCTGGAAAGGCGTGGCTGGGCGACCCTGGCATGCAGGCAGGGGAGATGGAGGGCTCTTCACGTTGTATAGAGCCCTGGCGAATAGAGGCCCCGCCCAGGGTACCCTCTCCGAGGACCCATTGTGGCTCTTTCGAGGACTCGCCGGGGCTCTGCTCCAAGAGACCTCGAGAGAGCGTGCGTGTGCCTCGACTCGCCAGTAGAGAGCCTCTACATCGCTCTACAACGGAGGCAGTTCGTCCCGCGGCGGATGTAGAGCTCTACAGCTCTACAGCGCTCTCCAGCACTCTACATCTCTACAGCTCTACAGCGCTCTACTCGAGTACACTCTACATCCTCTACACCCTCCCTCAGCGAGGCGTCCGAGCCTCTTTCTTTCGGGTATGGAGTCCGTAAGAGAGAGATTTTTAGCAATACCAAACAATTTGTTTGTTTTGTCCGTGAGTGCGGGCAAAGAAAGAAAGAAAACAAGCAAGCCAAACGAGGGATGGGAGGAGGACAAGGTAGGTAGGTCCCCACCTGCACAATCGCGAAGAATTCTTTTTCGCTGCCGCCTGGTCGTTGCCGGTGGTCGTTGCTGGCACCGCCCGTCCTTCGCCATGGAAAACGTAGAGCCAAACGCCTTCGTCGCCGCGATCCAGGTCAAATTTCACACCGCCGTCTCTTCCGCCGCCTCACCGCGGCCTCTCCACGTCGCCGTCCCGCCGCCGCACAGGAGGCGCTCTGTGAACGGGGCCGCGTCGAGGACGACTTGGTCAAGCAGGCGGACGCCACGTCCATCGCCGCGGTGATGGAGTGTGAGGAGGTGCATGACCACCTGGTCACCGTGCTCCCCGCCGCCTTCGGTCCGCGCCGCCCCGCTCTCCCCTCGCCGCTCTCCGCCGCCCAAACCGACAGCGCGCCCGCTGCGGCCCGCAGAAGCCGCGGATCCGGGTCACAAGGCGTCGCTGGTCGAGGCGGTGGCGCTCGCTCTGGTCCGCAAGCTCGATGACGCC